TGCTTCCATATCTTGGCTATTGTAAATAGTGCAGTGATAAACATAGGGGTGCTTTTGTCTTTTTGGATCAGGGATCTTGTTTTCAATGGGTAAATTACTTGGAGTGGAATTCCTGGGTCAAATGGTATTTCTATTTTTAGTTTTTTGAGGAACCTTCATATTGCTTTCCACAATGGTTGAACTAATTTACATTCCCACCAACAGTATAGGAGGGTTCCCCTTTCTCAGCATCCTTGCCAGCATTTGTTGTTCCGTGTCTTTTGGATGTTGGCCATCCTAACTTGTGTGAGGTGGTATCTCACGTAATTTGCATTTCCGTGATAGTTAGTGATGGGGAGCAAGTTTTCATGTGCCTGTTGGCCATTTGTATTTCTTCTTTGGAGAAGTGTCTAGTTCATGTCCTCTGCCCATTTTTTGATCTGGTTAGTTGTTTTTGGGGTGTTGAGGCTTATGAGTTCTTTATGTATTTTGGATGTTAACCCTTTATCAGAGGACTTGTTTACGAATATATTCTCCCATACTGAAGGATGCCTTTTTGTTCTGATGGTGTTCTTTGCTGTACAGAAGCCTTTTAGTTTACTACAGTCCCGTTTCTTCATTTTTTATTTTGTTTGCCTTGCTTGGGATGTGTCCAGGAAAAAGTTGCTCATGTTTATATTCAAGAGATTTTTGCCTATGCTTTTTTCTAAGAAACATAAACTATGTTTAATGGTTTCATGACTTAAATTCAGTTCGTCGATCCATTTTGAGTTTACTTTTGGGTATGGAGTTAGACAATAATCCAGTTTCATTCTCTTACATGTAGTTGTCCAGTTTTGCCAACACCAGTTGTTGAAGAGGCTGTCTTTTCCCCATTGTTTATCCATGGCTCCTTTATCATATAATAATTGGTTGTATATGTGTTGGCTTATATCTGGGCTCTCTGTTCTGTTTCATTGATCTATGGGTCTGTTCTTGTGCCAGTACCAAATTGTTTTGATTACTGTGGCTTTATAGTAGAGCTCAAAGTTAGGGAGTGTAATCCCCCCAGCTTTATTCTTCCTTTTCAGGATTGCTTTGGCTATTTGGGGTCTTTTGTGGTTGCATATGAGTTTTAGAACTATTTATTCTAGTTCATTGAAGAATTCTGTTGGTATTTTGACAGGGTTTGCTTTGAATCTGTAAATTGCTTTGGGCAAGATGGCAATTTGACAATATTAATTCTTTCTATCCATGAGCATAGGATGAATCTCCTTTTGTTGGTGCCTTCTTTAATTTCTTTCATGAATGTCTTATAGTTTTTAGAGTAAAGGTCTTTTACCTCCTTGGTTAGGTTTATTCCTAGGTATTTTATTCTTTTTTATGCAATTATAAATGGACTTGTTTTCCTGATTTCTCTTTCTGCTAATTCATTGTTAGTATATAGGAATGCAACAGATTTCTGTGTGTTAATTTTGTATCCTGCAGCTTTGCTGAATTCAGTTATTCTAAGTCTTTTGGTGGAGTCTTTAGCATTTTCTATGTATAATATCATGTCATTTGCAGATAGTGAGAGTTTAACTTCTTCCTTAACCAATTTGGATGCCTTTTATCTGTTTGTGTGGTACAAGTTCTCTTTTGCTCTCTAGTTTCTCTCTTACCACCTTTCTGCCTTTCCTCTCACATTTCTGCCACCGTGCTGCCCCTTTTCTCCTATGCATAGACAGTCTAGGTTTCTGATCTTCCTGCCTCTACTAGATTTTTGGATTTTTAAAGCAATGTCCACAGTTTCCTCTCTGACTATAGGAAGTCCTCACGTTTATGTATTGGAGACTGTGTAGTGTAGGAGCCAAGGGCAGGTGATCTCAAGATGTGCCACTTTGGCATATAGATTATTTTGAGCTGAAAGCAATCAAGGCCCAAAAAATTCAGAAAGAAACTTTGACTTTCCCCCTAACTGCATAAAAAGAATTTAGACAGAGGACCTGCTGCAGGAAGAGAGCTCTAACCATAAATAACTAAATTTTAATGTGAACTGGGTGTGGTAGGGAGAAACTGAGCAAAGTCTGTTAAAATTCCTCTTTGTGTCCCATTGTTTCTGTATGGTCCAGCAAACATTTGTTTATCAAATATTTATTTCATATTCCTGTGAATTGCTTCCCTTTCCTTCTGAAGCCACAGATCTCTTGCCTTTTCTCCCTAGTTCAGGATGGCTTATATATCTCATTTTGCCTATCTTTAGAATCCCATGTCTATGGATCCCTGTGGGTAAGTAATTAAACTTAGTTTTTTTTCTCATGCTAATCTGTCCTATGTTAATTTGATTCTTGGACCAGCTAGAACTTCCAAGGGTAGAAGAAAATTTTCCTCCCTGACAGTAGTAAAGTAGGTCCTCATATCCCCTACAAATAGCAGAAGAGATAAGGAAAAATAATAACCCACTCATCCCTGTTATTGAAAAGGGAAAATGATTTAAAAAGTCACTAAACTGCAGTAAGTCATGGCCATAGAGTTATTCCGTTATGGGTATTGCTTCATCATGTGAAGCCCCAACTTTTTTTTTTAATGAGTTATCATTGATATATAATCTTATGAAGGTGTCACATGAGCAACATTGTGGTTACTACAATCACCCATATTATCAAGTCCCCCTGCACACCCCACTGCAGTCACTGTCTATCAGCATAGTAAGATGCTTTAGAATTACTACTTGTCTTCTCTGTGCTATACTGCCTTCCCCATGACCTCCCCCACTACATTATGTGTGCTCGTCTTAATGCCCTTCAATCCCCTTCTCCCTCCCTCTCCATCCACCCTCCCACCCTGCTTCCCTCTGGTAACTGCTAGTCCCTACTTGGTGTCAGTGAGTCTGTTGCTGTTTTGTTCCTTCAGTTTTGCTTTGTTGTTATACTCCACAAATGGATGAAATCATTTGTCTTTCTCTGCCTAACTTACTTTGCTGAGCATAATACCTTCCAGCGCCATCCATATTGTTGCAAATGGTAGGATTTGTTTTCTTCTTATGGCTGAATAATATTCCATTGTGTGTATGTACCACATCTTCTTTACCCATTCATCTACTGATGGACACTTAGGTTGCTTCCATGTCTTTGAAGCCCCCACTTTTTAAACTGGGATGTGCATCCCTTGGGAGGCATGGTCTTGTGCTATGGGTCCATGTGACACATTTGGGGTGCCGTTTTTGGAAGGAAGGAGAGATCTTTAAACCAGGGTCTCTCATCCTTGGTGCTGTTGACATTGGGACCAGATAATTCTTTGATTGGGACCTGTCCTGTGCACTGTAGGGTGCTGTTCTGTTCTGTTATTCACTATAGGATGTTTACCAGTTCCCCTAGTATCTGTGTATCCCTCCTCCAGCTGTGATGGCCAGACATGTCTCCAGATGTTGCCAGATGTCCATGGAGAGAAAATCCCTTGTGGTTGAAGCCAGTTATGGATATGTGCATAGGCAATTCAAACCAAACAAGCTCAGAAAAATCTGTGTGCACCTAGCTCTATTCCACTGAGATTACTTGATGTTCTGGCTGTTTTTTTTTTATTTTTCTTTTTTTGCCTTCTAAGTATTGAACTCTCAAATTTTGTATAATTGTTTCTCTTATGTGTTTACATTTCAGTTTTTTCCCCTAGGTCATCAGAGGCATTTGTTGAATAAAAGGTGTCCATAACAGAATTCCTTGAACAGGGAGTTTTCTACTTGTATTTCTAAACTTCCATTAGGTAGGTATCTTCTCACATTTGTAGGACAGCTTGCCTGGGTTATTCATTCCCAGTGGGAAATTAATTGCTGTTAAAATCTGACGTCATTCTCATCAGAGTGCTGTTGAACGTGCTCTGTCCCTTTCCACCACTACCTGCTTGTGGTATTATTGCTTTTTTCATAAAAATGTAGGCATACCTAGGCACGTCTTGTTGTACATGTGCCAGCCCTTGATGGGATCCTTTGTCTCCTCTCATTTTTGAAGTCAGATTCTCCAAATGCTTGTTAATCTTTGGGTGGATCTCTTTTATTGTCCAAGTCATAATTTTCTTGTTTGAAACTGAGTTTTTAATTTTCTTCCTCACCGAAACTTGGCTGCATAGAATGGTTTTGACAATTTCCTGCTTTTGACTTTTGCTTTGATTTTCTCTTGAGGCATGTTGGACTTTTTCTTACTAAATAATGTCAGATTCTCTGAGTGTTCCAGATCCATTTGGGGTCTAGCAGTGTTGACCTCCTTCCTCTCCTCTCTTACCTCTTGTCATATACTTGCCCTTCTTCTTTTTGTGGGGGTGGGGGGTAGGGAGGTGTTCTTTTAGTTCATTTTGTCATTTGATTGGTATTGAATGGTTGGCCTGTGTTTTTTGTGTCTGGCTTTCTAGCCCATTTAAAGCTCATCTTGTCACCTTCCTGGAATTCTGTATGGCCATTTGATCCTTGGTTGGTTTTATCTCCTCTTTTTTATGCCTTTGAGTGGCTTCCCCTGCCTTTAATTGGGCACCTGTAGGGAATTCAGAATTTTAATATCCATCCAATCAGTAAATTGGCTATAACTGCACTGTTTGATATGGTTGCAATGAACCACAAGTAGCAATTTAGATTTAATCAAAATTAGATAGAATTAAAAATTCAGTTTGTGGTACTAGCCACATTTTAAATGCTTAGTAGCCTTGTGACTAGTGACAACTGGATTGGGCAAAGCAGATGTAGGAGATTTCCACCACTGCAGAGAGCTCTGTTGGACAGTGCAGGACTATGTGATACATACCATATGCATGTAAAAAAAATTGCTGTGCTGTCTTTCCTCCCTAGTATTCTGATATCTTTGATGTTTGGGTTTAGTGGTCCCTCTCTCCAGGGAGCGAGTCAGAATCTGAGTGACTGTAAAGGAAGACTGGTGAAGACTTGAAAGGTGTAATTAAGTGATGTGTTTTTTTGATGTTTGGTTATAACTTGTACTCTGACTCTTCTGTGCAGGAAACGTGAAACTGTGTTCTGTGCTGTTTGTGTGCTTGAGCTGATTTGCTGCTTTCTCCTTTTCTAGGTGCTAAGAGATGGCACTTGTGGGGCTCATCTCTGCCTGAGGATCGTGCTCCAGGCACTGGAAGAGCCACCTTGGGTCCGGGGCTTCTCGCTTGAACAAGTCTTCCCTTCCAGCCACGCCAGTCCAACGGCCAAACTACTCCCTTCCTCGTAGTGATGGGTATTGGTAAGAACACTACGTCCAAGTCCATGGAGGCTGGAAGTTCCACCGAAGGCAAATACGAAGATGAAGCGAAGCATCCTGGTTTCTTTACTCTTCCGGTAAGAGTAAAGAATTCTCTGACTTCTTTCTTCTTGACTCATTCTCAGTAGTGTCCCTATTGATGCAACATAGGGTTGACTCTAATACTCCTGTTTTCAGTGAAGGCTAAGGCAGTTGGAAACCAAATGCTTTTCACATGACATAGCCTCTGGGAACCCTTTTGGCTGACCCTGATTTTGGATCTGCTTTCTGCCTGGAGTCACCTGATGGGATTAACTCCAGGAAGGAAGCAGCATTGCTACGAACAGACACTGTAGAGCTGGCCCAGTGTCTATTGTGTACTGGAGGATGGTGAGAGCTTACTTTTATCTCCAGAAATATGTCTTATGAAATAACCTGAAACTCAGCTTCAGATTTGTGTTGCAAGGTGGGAGAATGAATGAAGGAATGACTTGTCATTTGGAATCCAGATGTCCATGGTATTAGGGCAGCAGCATCCAAAACAGAGGTAGTTTTACCTGGACAAATGGTATCAGTCAGATAAGGCTGATGATACATTCATTATATTCAATGCTTATATTTTTTCCAGGTGTAGGATTATGACCTGATGGGTATAAAGTTGACTGAACTGTTGGTTTAAAAAAGAAAAAAAGCTCTTTAGAGAGAACTTGCCTCAAGGTATTTTTCTCTTATTACTGGAAATGAGGTTTGTCTTGCCAGTGGGTTTCAGCCCTGTGCAAGTTCACTGTGGATTCACTTGACCAAAGAAATGACAGTAGAACGTCCTTGGGGTGAAAAAGTTATACCCAACTTTATTCCTGCAGTGGTAGGTCAATCACTAGAATCCCATCCTCTCAGAGTGAGTCTGCATGCAGCAAGCCGGTCTCTGCCTCTGAGTCTCTCTGCTCCTGCGGCCCTCTCAGTCTCTGTTCTCAGTGCTGCCACCACTCCAGTCTTGTCTCTGCTCTCCTGCAGCCTTGCAGCAGTGCCACCATGTTGCCCAGAGCACTGGGCGGAGCTCTTTATATAGAGTCAATAACAACGTATTGCCCACATGTGTGTAGTGAACTAGCCTACCAGGGCCAGGTGAGAATCCTGGCCACAGGAACCTTCACTTTATCCACAGGTTAATGGCAAGAATACCATTCTAGGATTCCTTAAAACCTGGTTCTGGAATTCGCCTTACTGCATCATTACTCAGTAAGAAAGATGTGACCACAGCATCTTTAAGTACATTGGTTGGCCTGACCAAAAAATTTTGATTTTTACCCTATTCGCAGAGATGTTGCGCTGATTTTACAACAGGCATTACTGTTTTCTTTCTTCCTGTAAAGTGACATCTTGAATCTGGCCTCTGTGTTGTATTAAAAACTTTAGGTCAACACAGGTTTTGTAGAGAAAGAGACAAGTCACTTTCAAGTTTAATGAGGTCATCTTTGAAAAGTGAAAGGAACGTTTCATGTATAGGTATTGAGTGGTCTCTGCTGCTGCGTTTTTTTGCCTCAGAGCCCAGCAGACCACTCACCCTCACCCATCTCCACTTGAGAGATGAACTTGAGCCCACCCTCGCCACCCACCTGCCTTGTCAGTGTCATGATGGCCGAGAGTTTTAGGTTTCTTATATTCACATCCCAGTTGGGATATTTTACAGCTAGCAGTGACACTCGCCAGCATATGTGATCAGGTTTCATATTTGCTGCTGTTCCTGAATTCCTCTCCCTTCTCAGTTCACTTTTCTTTTCAGATACACTGAGGGCACAGGAACAGTCACTGCCCTGTCTTTGTGCATCTGAGTATAACTGTATTTTTGTTCTCCACTTTGGGTGACCTTATATTAATTACACACTAGAGCCTTCCAGCCCATTGCTATTTCTCTTTAACTGCTTCCTCATGATTAGGATATCTTTTCTAGTGCTACCTTCTGGATGACTCCCCAGGGTTATTTTCCAATTTGCTAATTCTTTGTGCATAGTCATGTGTTCATGTTGAGTTTTTATTGCAGTGATAGTTCTCCAAAAATTTCTATTTGGTTCATTTCTGCCTATTTTTGGTTCTTAAGTTTTATATGTATGTGTTTGTTTTAAAGTGTTTCTTCATTTATATCATTGAGGATCTAAATGTACTTATTTTAAAGTATTTCTGTGGTCTATTTTCATCTGGTGTGAAATCCTCTTCTGACTGTTCCTTTTGAGATTTTCTCTCCCCACCACTCCTGCCTTTCTGGGGTTTTGCATTTTCTTTTGCTGGATCCAGACCGACAGTGGGTCTCACAGTGGAGGCCTTGCTTTCCCCCTGAGTGGTGCAGCCTGTGATGTGAAGGAGTGGGGAGACCGGCTGGCCCCTGGCTTCCTGCGCTGACCCTGATTCTGGTCCCTCCTTCCTTGGGTGGGGGAGTCTCTGCTTCTCCTCTGGAGCCTAGAGCTGCCTGACTGAGGTATCCCAGGCCAGGGCCTCCTGGGCCTCAATGTCAGCCTACTCATTGCTTTATGTTTCTCACATCTGTAAAGGTTTGTCTGTTTTTATGCTTGCCTATTTTGCGGTTTTTCCCTCTGTCATTATTTTTTAGGGGTGGGGTTGGGAAGGAGTGTTTCTCAAAGCATTGATTTCCAGATCCGTCTTTATCAGGAGTCCCTGCAAGTATGTGGGAGCTGAGAATGTGGATATAATACGTAGTTGTACAGAAATACAATGTGAATATAAAGTTAATTTAACACAAGTAGTTTCATGAGGGAAGTTCTAGAATTTTTACCCCACTCTGAGGCTATAAAGGTAAGCATTACCTTTATAATGAGATAAGAGAAAGCTGAAGTAATGAGGGGATGAGAAAGGGGGGTAGTAGAATGGGATTGAGCTGCTGGAAAAATGCCAGGGGAGAGGCTCTAAGGGGCCAGCACATGAACCATAGGATGACTTGAAATTGGGTTGCCAAGAAGTATGTGTGTCCACCTGAGCTCTTTCAGAGCTTCTGAGAAAGTGAAAGATGAAATAAAAGAAGGAAAACAGATGAAAACAAAAGCCTATGTAAGGATGTTTATGAAGGAATAGTTGATGTGTTGGAATTTGGGGCTATAGAAAGAGGCTTGTTAGAAAATATTTTGTAATACAATGAAAATAGGGACAGTATATTTAATCACTAGTGAAATTGTCACCTATGAGATAGAATGTAAACTAGTTCAACCATTGTGGAAAGCAATAATGGAGGTTCCTCAGAAAACTAAAAATAGAAAATACCATTTGACCCGGGAATTCCACTCCTTGGAATTTACCCAAAGAAAACAACTTCTCATATTCAAAAAGACATGTGCACCCCTATGTTTATCGCAGCACTATCTACAATAGCCAAGATATGGAAGCAGCCTAAGTGTCCATCAGTAGATGATTGGATAAAGAAGAGGTGGTACATATACACAATGGAATACTATTCAGCCGTAAGAAAGAAACAAATCCTACCATTTACAACAACATGGATGGAGCTAAAGGGTATTATGCTCAGTGAAATAAGCCAGGCAGAGAAAAATACCAAATGATTTCCCTCATTTGTGGAATATAACAATGAAGCAAAGCTGAAGGAACAAAAGAGCAACAGACTCACAGACTCCAGGAAGGGACTAGCAGTGGGGGAGGGATAAGGGAATTGTGAGGTACCATGTTTGGTGCACATGGTGTGTGTGGGGTCACAGGGAAGACAGTGTCACTCAGAGAAGACAAATAGGGACTCTGGCATCTTACTACTCTGATGGACAGTGACTACAATGGGGTATGTGGGGGCGGGACTTGATAATAGGGGTAATGTAATAACCACGTTGTTTTTCTTATGAAACCGTCATAAGAGTGTATATCAAAGATACCCTAATAAATATATAATAATAAGATAGAAGGACATTTTGAATGATTTGCTTGTTGACAGGACAAGGGTAGGGGCTAGGTTTTCCACCACCTGACTGGTGGGATTATTTTGGTTGCTGCATCTCTGCTCTTAGGTCATCTATAGGTGTCTCCCTGTTTTGTTCAGCCCACAAGATCTAGATGCTAATTTCATAGAATCTGACAGCCTTAGACCTGAATGTGGCTCTGTGGGAAGGTGAAGGGCAGTGTCTCGTTCACACTGTATGTTAATTAAAATTTGTATCAGTTGAATCACATAAGGTTCTTGTTCCCAAGAAATTCACAGCCAGGTGAGCAAGGTGGGAGCTGCACACAAGCATTGTTTAATGACAGGCAGGCTGTATGTGATCTTCGGAGTTCAGCAGGTGTTCTTGGGGATGGTTTTCAAAAGAAAGAGTTGGGATTTAACTGCTGTCATTGATATTCCCTTGGTAGCAGAGGAACAAATGAGACTCAGTCTCTTATTTCCTCCAGCTGCTTTCCATGTGAGCATCTGGCCAACTTGGTGGTTCTGGTTGTGTTTTCATTTTTGTTTTGTGTTTCTTTTCCTTCTAACATGGTCCCTTGGTGCTTTGAGAAATGGTATTTTGGACTATAGGGTAGTACTCCTAACAGATACCTTGGGCAGTTGTACCTCTTGGTGATTCTTTTTTGCTGACTTTAAAACATGTCTCTATGAACACATGATCCACTGGAGAAGGAGGCGTGGGGCAGGGCAGGAGGAGCGGAGGGGAGAGGACACCTGGCGGTGCTGCGCCCTGGAAGCAGTGGCAGCTGAGGAGGGCCTTGAACTGAAAGGAGGCAGCGTTGGAACGTGTGCAAATTGAGGAAAGGGACCACCATGCAGAGGGTGCGATCAGCCTGAGCCAAGTCAGGGCAGGCGGGAAAGTAGTAGGGCTGGTCACTTTGGAATAGGCCAGCTGAGAGTCTTGCTTCTGGTTGGTTCTTGAAGGATTGGCTAAGTGTAACTCTGGGGGGAAAGTAAGTTCCCGGCCCAGGGCAAATTACGTTTAAAGCCAAAATCAGTTAAAGGGAGAAATAAAGTGGAAGAAACCCACTATTGCCTACAAGCAGTTGTCCGCTTCTGCTTGCCCGTGTCTCTCCCATCCCGGCTGGAAAAAGAGACCCCAGCAAACTTCTCTGGTCCAGATATACTTCCCCACCCTTGTCATCA